GGGGTCCTGAGCGCCCTTCGTGGGGCTGCCCCAGGAGGGACCACGGCCAGGGGCTCCCCAGCAGCGGGAGGGATTGTCCCATCCCCAAGGCCGCTCCTCCCTGAATCTCCAGGGAAGGTCCTTCCTGCCTCGTCCCCATCCTGTCCGGGCCCTGGCCTCTCACCGTCGCTGCCCTGCCTTCAGGCGGCACCTCCCCTCCCCTCCCCTCCCTGGCCCCTGGGAGGGCACTCACCCCGGGTGCCCCAGGAGGTCCCATCTGTAGCTGAGCGGCAGGTCCCTTCCTAGGGCCTCCAGGGCCCACTCGCCCGTTTCACCAGGGGCGCAGAGGCCGGGGTGAGGACACCCCGAGGCGGCCGTGCATGCGGCACTGGGTGAGGGACTGTATGTGTCCGCAGGCTCCTGCAGCAGCTGGGGGGACTCCCACTACGTCACCTTCGACGGCACCCCCTACTCCTTCCGGGACAACTGCACGCACGTGCTCATGCGGGAGATCCGGCCCCGGCACGGGAACCTCACCATCCTCCTGGACAACCACCACTGCGGGGCCGCGGGTGCAACCTTCCCAGGGGCCACTCCCTGCCACACGTGCACCTGCCTGTCCGAGGACACCCAGGCCCCCACCGTGCAGTGTGCGGAGGACATCTGCAACGCCACCTGTCCCCTGGTGAGCCTGCCCGGGCAGACAGAGCCCTGGCGCCCCTCCCCCCACCGCAGCACCTGCAAGTCAGTGGTACCTGACCCCAGGGGGGTCCTCCAGCTCAGCCTTTGCCGCTTCCCCAAAGGGAGGGTGCAGAGCAGGAAGATGGTGGGCGACAGGGTGGGCGGGGCTGGGACAGGTTCCAGGCAGGCAGAAGAGGGGAGGGGCCGAAAGCAGGGGTGAGGCTGAGGCAGGACAGGGGGCACCCCGACCCTCAGAGCCAGGCCTAGACAAGCTTCTACCCTCCGGGCCATGGTTTCAGAGTGTGGGGGCGGCTGATGGGGCTGCCAGGCCCTTGGGGTGTGGAGGGGCAGGAGGCCTGGGGGTGCAGACGTGACCACCCTCTGGCCCCCAGGGTTTCGAGTATGTGACGGTGGCCGGGCAGTGCTGCGGGGAGTGCGTGCAGAAGGCCTGCCTCACGCCCGACGGCGGGCTGATCCAGGTAAGCGGGGTCTCAGCCCTCCACCCAGCAGCCCCTCCCTCCAGGCCTTCTGGGCCGTGAGAAAATCCCGACCCGGCTCTCCCCTGTGCGTTTCAGCCCAATGAGACCTGGATCAACAGCCTGGTGGACAACTGCACCGAGTACCACTGCCAGGCCGAGCACGGGGTTCCCATGCTGATCCTCAGGCCGTCGCCCTGCCCAGACGTGTCCAGCTGCAGGGTGTGTGCCCCCGGGGATCTGGCCAGCCTGGTGGCCTCCTGGCCTTGCCCTGGCGGCCCCGCCCACCCCCCTCCCTGGCGGCCCCGCCCACACTGTGCCCTGGAAACCCTGCCGAGGCCGCTTTCTGGAGGCCATGCCCTCCTACAGGCCCCGCCCCTAGATCCTGGCCCCCGCCCCCAGCCCTCCCTCTGTCCCCCTTTGCAGGGCATCCTCAGGAAAACCGGCTGCTGCTACTCCTGCGAGGAAGTGGGTAAGTCGGGGCGCCTCCAACCCTGCCCTCCAACTCCCTCCGACCTCTGCCCATGGGCTCCTGCCCTGACCCCTGGGAGGTAGCGGCCGGTCTGGGTCCTCGGGGACCCCCACCTCTGCCTTTCCTCCGTGCAGACTCCTGCCAGGTCCGCCTCAACAGGACGGTGCTGGAGCACCAGGGCTGCCAGGCCCCCGTCAACCTCACCTTCTGCGAGGGCTCCTGCCCAGGAGTGTCCAAGTGAGTGGCCCCACACCCCCAGCCGCCTCCGCCCACCGAGGGGAATTCCTACCTGCAAGCAAAGAGCCCGCCCCAGCACACATCACCTCCCAGGGCCCCCTGTGGCCCTGGCCTGGGCTTGCCGCCCTGAGCTGGGTCAGGAGGGCCCAGGAGGAAAGGGGGCCCAGAGGAGCCCCTCTCCACATCCGTCGGCACAAGCCTGGGGCCTCCGACCCGCAGAGCCAGGCCTGGGCACGCTGGGCAGAGACGGGCGCTGCGTCCAGACGCCTGGCACCATGTCCACCTGGGGGTGGGCGCTCTGTACATCCACTGTGGGGCGCCCAGGCCCCTCTGGACACCGCGCCTCGTCTCCAATGCCCAGCCTGTCTACCCTCCTGCCATGAGAGCAGATGAAGGGAGCAGCTCGGGGCCACTTAGAGCTGGGGGGGGGCGGGGCCTGGGAGAGGCGCCTGTGCCCGGGCCAGGCAGAGTTTAGCTTCAGGGTCTCCCAGCAGCTTCCTCCCAGGAAGGGGAAGGTCCTCGGGCAGCACATACCTCCCAGCGCTTGCTGCCTGCCCGGGATGACTGCCCACGCTGGGCCCTGCCCTGCCCGGGGTCCTGCTTCTCTCCTGGCCGGTGCCCAGAGGGGGGCACATCCATAATCCCATCTGAAGAAGAAAGAACCACCCGTGTGGGCCTCGTCTTCTCCGAGCCCACCTGGCCGCAGGCAGGGTCCTGGCCCCGCCCCACCCAGGGCCCTCAGTCACCCCCCCTCCCTCCCACC